AGGGACCCCAGCCCCAGCTGCCCTCCGCTGGCTGGCTGGAGGGACCCCAGCCCCAGCCCCAGCCGTGCTAGGCTGGCTGGAGTGACCTTGGTTAACAGTTAACCAGTTAAACAACATAATTGTAATAGTTTAACCAGTTTACTTTTTTAACCGATATTTACATCCTCACTAAGAAAGTGTTTGATCTGGATGAGAGAGGCCAAAAGTGCAGTGAGATGAAGACAAATAGCTCTGTCTCATCCAAACGGAGAATGCAACTACCATCTGGTAACGCAGGCAGAGATAGTGTAAGCTCCCATGGGCTAAAGGCCAGTGAACTAGGGCACTGTCTTATTTTCTTTCCCCCCTAAATAGGACCATTGTATTATCAAGCCACGATTGACTTGTGCTGGGATGGCGCCACTTCTCAGGAACACTGACACACTGAGGACATGAACAAAGCCTGGGACTATCCCTATATGACACACACCTTGCAGCAGCTGAATGGCTACGGGGGAGGGGACACGCGACAGTAAATTCTTAAGAGTTATGCAGCCATTGTCTCATTTTTCAGGTGTTGCTCCCCTTTAAAAACACCTGATGGCAAATTTAACCCTGGTGTAAATAAATTCTTTATTTTTAAAGGCCTGGTCTACCCACCGATTTCGTACTGGTATAACCATGTCAGGAAGGTGTGTGTGTGTTTTTTTTTAACGGATGTAGTTATAGCAGTACAAACCCTTGTGTGGATGCACTTATACTGGTATAACAATGCCTTTCACTTGCAGAGCTTATTCCCCTTCCTGTATGGCCCTGCACTGCTGTAGCGTTTCTAGTGTAGACATACAGTTATATCAGCATGAAGGTGTCTACATTAGAGGGATTGTACCAGTTTAACTAAGCTGCTCAGGCCATAGCTCATTGGGTCCGAGTTAGCTGGGTTTTAACCATGGATACGTTTGTCCATTCGTCACCATTAGAATGTTGCTGCATTCTCGGTGACGTCAGTGGAACACCAGGAATACCTTTGATCCCAGGTGTCGCTCGCTTGTTTTTGTTAAATAGTGTGTGTTTATTCCCAGCAGCCCATTCCATTCCAGGCTACGGTTCATCACATCTCACAAGCTGAGCACAGTCAGTCCCTGTCCCTTTCTCCCAAGGAAAACCCACTGTGCTACAGAATGTGGGGCTGTACATTCAATAGGTGGCATGCTTCCCTCCGCTTCATACTTGATCCAGTTCTTTAGTATGGTGCTATTGTAACCCACACACCACCTGGGTGTGGTGTTCTGTTCTGTCCCAGCTAGTGGCACCGAGACCACTGAGAGAGAGAGAGAGAAAATAAGTCTGCTCTACAGCCTTAGCTAAGAGCCACTTGGCTTTTAGCTCATGCGGTAGAGGCTCATGCACTAAGCTCCAGCAGCCGCAGGTTCAATCCTGCTGACCAGGGTCTGTCAGCCTTATACTAAGGTGGGGGTCGGGGGGAAGGCCTGTGATGCTGGAATATCCCATCTTTCTAATGAAACTTAAGGCTAAAGTCCTGCCCATTTATAACCATTAAGGATCTTTTGCAGAGGGATATTAGCCCCGGAGTCCTGGCCAAATTCCCCTTTCTGCCTATGTAATTGATCTCTGTGTTTTCAATTGGCTAGAAGAGGTGGCTGCATTTCAGTGGTGGGTGAAGTGACACCTATCATGGCACATTTACAATCCCTTGGGATGAAGGGCATTCTTATAAGGTGATACTATATTATGTACAACTGTTAAAGAGTTGGCATTCCTGGAGCCATTAAAATAAGAGGGAAGTTGTGGGATTGCAAATTTTAGAGTCACTAAATTAAGAGAAGGCACAGGATTTTTCCATGTGTGATGCCAACTCCACATATTCCAAAGCTGTCAGTGGGTTTCTTAGTGCAGTGGTCCCTGAGGGAGAAGAAATTAGATGGGAGTTAAGATTCAGGAATGGGGCTTATCTGATCCTTGAGCAGCAAACAGTCCAAACTCCAGCCTTGACATCTTCCAGATCCCCTAACTTCTGGTTTCTTTCTTTCCATGTTGTATCTACTTGCATACTTGTAGCAGTGGATAATGTGTTTTTGTACATTGCTTTCAGATTATAATGTAGTTCAAATGAAGGCCAGGCTGGAGCCAAACACAGCACTCTCCGAACCCTAAAAATATGCAGAATGTATCATTTAATCAGTCTCTCTGCTTTGATTGGAAAGAGCGTGAGTCTGACTACGGAGCACTAGGAATGCTCGTGATGTGCTAAAGCTGTGTTGGCATAAAAGCAAGAAGTGGGACACGCATAAGCGCCAACTCCGTGAATGCAACGAGGCTGGAGCACCCACAGGGAAAAATTAGTGTGTGCTCTGCACCCACCGGCAGCCAAGCTCCCCTCTCCCACTGAACACGCCGCGTCCCCGCTCCTCTGCCTACCTCCCAGCGTTTCCCACCGGGACACCACCAAACAGCTGTTTGGTGTTAGCATGCTCCGGGAGTGGGGGGGAGGAGCGGGAACGTGGCGCACTCAGGGGAGGAGGCAGGGAAGAGGTGTGGCTGGGGTGGGGATTTGGGGGAAGGAGTTGAATAGGGGCAGGGAGGGGGTGGAGTTGGGGTGGGGACTTTGGGGAAGGGGTTGGAATGAGGGGGGAGGGGTGGGGCCTCATGGAAGGGGTGGAGTGGGGGCGGGGCTGGGGGGGGAGGGTCGAGCACCCATGGGAAGAAGGGGAAGTCGGCGCCTACGGGGACACGTCTGAATGTGTCTATATGTGCAACCGGATTAGAAGCTCAAGCTCTAAGGGGAAGCCTCACTGGAATGCTCCCTGTTGCCTTTTTGTCTTTCAATAGGCTATGGCACCCAGTGTCCTAAAACGGTTGCTGGCCAGATCTTCTGTGTTTTTTATGCTTCATTTGGAATCCCTTTGACTATCGTTTTCCTGCACCGGGTCAGTAAGATGCTTTCTCTGCTGTGTGAAAGGCTTGGGAGATGGCTGTATCAGAAGGGAATGAAAAAGGTAATCAGTTTCATTCTCTCAATGATTGTTTATATGCTGGCTTTAGGTTTTCTTCCAGATATATCTCAGTTACTTTCTATGTTACTTATGCACCCAAGCGGTGTTAGGTGCTGTACAAATGCATATGAAGAGAGAGTCCCTGCTCTAAAGATTTTATACTCTAAAGAGATGAGACAAGGTTGTGGGGAAATAGACATATATGCAAAATATCTTCCACACTGTAGCAAGGTCGCTGACTCACTGGCACAGCGCCTCCTGCTGGTCAATCTGGGAATTAGCTCTTTCCAGCACTTGGAGCGCCTCCTGCTGGCCAGTGTCTCTCCTGCCTCAGGCCCATGTCTCTCACCTTGGGCTTCTGCCCACCACAGCACCCCCACACTCAGGTCTCCCCTCTGAGGGGAACCCCCAACCCCCTAAGCCCACCTTGCCTCAGTGGTTATTGCCAGTCATCATCTAGCCCCCTTTCCCTGGGGCAAACTGCAGTCTATAATGGCCACAGATCATTGGCAAAGGGATTGGACCAGCTGCCTCTGCCTATTCCCGGGCTGCACCTCTGTAGCCCCAGTACCTGCTTGGGCCTTTACCAAGGCCTCAGCCTGGGGAGTTACCAGGCTGGAACTCCCCAGCTCCTCTTGCCCTTTCCCCCAGCACTGCTCTGCTTCAGGTACCCTGTGCTGCCAGGCACTTAGGTCCTTCCCACTCCAAGGCTGGAGTGAGACTCTCCCAGCTCTACCCTGAGCCCTTCTTATACTGGCCCAGTCCGGCCCTGATTGGCCACCTCAAACCCACTCCTGATTGGCTCTCCGGGGCAGCCCTTTCCCAGGGCTGTTTTTAACCCCTTCCTGACCAGAGCAGGGTGACCACCCCGCTACACACACCTACAAGCTACTGAACCCCTCTCCTCCTGTATCCTAATGGTCTAAACTGCCTGCTGTCACACCACGAGCCAGCCGCCCACTCTCCAACGCTCCACGGGGTCAGAGACAAAGAACAAACAGCCCACCAGCAGAAGGCCATTCTAGTCAATGTGTTGAAAGACGGGGATGGGTCTCTTGGAGTTGGAGGCAAGGGCTCTCAAGGCTGATTGTGCCCCAGAGGATAGGTCTACATTGCAGCCGGGCGCGAGCCTTCCACCCCAGGTAGACAGGCTTATGCTAGCAGGGCTCACACTAGCGCACTAAAAAGAGCTGCCTGGAGGTTGTGGCACCGGTGGAGGCTCAGGCTAGCCGCCCGGGCTCAAGCCTGCCCTACCCCCTGAGTCAGAGCTCAGGTGGCCAGCCTGAGCCTCCGCCGGGGCGGCAGTGCCCACCCAGTGATTTTAGCATGTTAGCGCAAGCTCCGCTACCACAAGGGGGCACGATCCCAGCTGCAGTGTAGACATACGCAGAGTCTCTAGCAGCTCCTAATGCTCTCCCCACTGCTTTTGAGGTGGTGGGAGTTATTCTTCTGGGGCTGCTGAGTAATCTGAGTTCTCCCATAAAAAGCAGTATCAGCGCTAAAGCCATTTCCTTTCATCCTTCAAACAGGTAAATCTCCCTCCCCAGGCCTGCCAAAATTCCACAGGCGTGGAATGGAAGGATTGCACCAACAAGGGATCTGGGGTGTATACAGCTCACCCAGCCCTCTCCAGCGTGGGTACCATGGTTGTCCAGTTTCCTTTCCTTTAACCCAATTTCTACTTGTAAATTGCATACCTACAAAAAAAAAAAAAGAGACAGATTTGCAAATTTGACACCATCAGCTCAGGATTAAACAAAGACTGTGAATGGCTAGCCCACTACAAAAGCAGTTTCTCCTCCCTTGGTGTTCACACCTCAGCTGCTAGAAGAGGGCCTCATCCTCCCTGATTGAAATAACCTCATTATCTCCAGACTGATCCTTGCCTGCATATTTATACCTGCCCCTGGAAATTTCCACCACATGCATCTGACGAAGTGGGTATTCATCCACGAAAGCTCATGCTCCAATACGTCTGTTAGTCTATACGGTGCCACAGGACTCTTTCTCGCTTTAAAAAAAAAAGAGAGAAATTTTAGCATATACCAAACCCTTGCCCCAGCCAGGCCCCCCATTCTTGACTGCAAGGAGAAAGGATGGTGCAGGAGCTGCTGCGCTGTCTCTCCACCACTGGAAATTCCCCCAGCCTCGGGGTGCTCCTCCAATGGAAAGCCAGCGCCGCACAGTCCAGGGTCTGGGCCTTAGTGACAGTTATTTGGACTGGTTGGAAATTTTCCAAGGAAAATTTAAATTTTTTTGGTCAAACAACTGAACACCCAGAATCCAACTAAATCTGAAATATTTTGGCTGAAAATAAACATTTTGATTCTAAAAAAGGCAGCAAGGTGCCTCATGGGAGTTGTAGTTCAAGTGTTTCATGCTCTCATTCATCTCTGGGGCTGGACTTCATCTCCCATGATGCATCGTGGCTATGTGATGGCTATAATAGGTGACCTCTCCTCACCAAGGAGTGAGGCCATGGTGCCTCATGGGAAATATAGTCCTTTTGTGTGGCCGTGTCAACCTTTAACTCCTGCAGGCCTGGGAGGAGTTCCTGTCCAGCTATTCATCCAAAATACTCATGTTGTGTAGGATTTCCTCATGTGTCCGAGTGGACTGCAATTTCTGTTGGTTTATTTTTCAGAAGAAGATCAAGTTTCTGACCCTTCTCTTCTTCCTGGTGATGGGCATTCTAGTGTTCCTGTGTCTGCCATCACTTGTCTTCCAGGTGGTGGAGGGCTGGTCCTACAGTGAAGGAGTTTATTTTGCATTTATCACCCTGAGCACCATTGGCTTTGGAGATTACGTAGTAGGTAAGGATAATAGTACTTCTCTCTGAATTAAAAGGTGGTAGAATTACCACTGTAGTGACTAAAAGGAGATAGAATCATAGAATATCAGGGTTGGAAGGGACCTCAGGAGGTCATCTAGTCCAACCCCCTGCTCAAAACAGGACCAATCCCCAGACAGATTTTTACCACAGATCCCTAAATGGCCCCCTCAAGGATTGAACTCACAACCCTAGCTTTAGCAAGCCAATGCTCAAACCACTGAACTATCCGGGACAAAGTACAAGTGAATGTACACTAGGAAGCAATGCTGCATTCAATGGTCTTTCCCAGCTCTAGCTTTTGTAATTCTCGGAGGAATGACCAGTTTCCTGGGGGCAGCCCAGAACAGCTCAGAATACCCAAATGCCTAGACACTATGAAACGTGGTGCTTTATACATAGAACAAAAAGATGCAATGGTTTGAGGGGCAGGAAGTTGGGAAGTAAGAGAGGAGACTTGGAGGTGTCCCAACTACAAAATCTCACGTGTGTATCTGATTCTTGTGGTTTATTCAGTGAAGAAATAATCAGGGCTTGTTTTAAAATACCTAATTTTTAAGCAACGTTCTTTACAGCTTCAGTCTTTGATGAAGAGTGAGCAGAAAACTTATCCTGGGGTAGAGACCTATACCTCCACTAACATGACTCCCCATAGAAATTAACTCCCGTGATCCCCTATGCGTCATTAGACCCTCCTGGACATCACACATGTGGGAGTTCAAAAGTTCTCCTGAAGTTAAACCCTATAAAACACAGCCTAGCTAAGCAAAATCATTCTAAAACACCTTCAGGTATTTCTCACCAAAATATCCTCTCTCCATTTGCTTTTGGAATGAACCCCTAGAGAGACCCCGCACAAGAGAACTCCAGAATCCAAACCACTGTCAGCAGAAATGATCAAATCTTGTCAAAGTGAACAGATTCCTCCACAGTGTGTGTCCGGTAACATGCTGGCAACCAGAATTTCCTCTCCACAGAGAAATGACAAGGAAACAGCATTTGCATTGGTTCTAGAAGATCAGTGGCTTAAGTGCAGTGAGTTTGGAGGTCTCGCTCCAGTTGTCAGTGGACAGGCCATTCACAGCACAAAAAGATCACCTCTGCCGGTATGCTTAAATTCAGCAGAAAGGCCAAGAACGGAACGGCATGGAGACTGGCTATCTTTCCTTCTCACCCATTGTGAGGACTTCCTCCAGGTCAGGGCTAAGGTGTGTTGGCAGAATGGTGTGGGGAAACTTGCACTGACATTGCCTGTATTCTACCTCTTTTGTGAGTAAATAAACTCCTGTCTCTGGGGCTGACAATCCAGCTTCTTTCACAAGTCCCTAATTTCCCCCTGTCCCCCAAAAGAGAGGGAGAGGAAGAGAGAGAGAATTCTGATTGGAACATCAAAGTCAGTGTGAGGTTGAGAATATTCTGCACCTCACAAGATAAAGGGCTAAGAGACAGAGGCAGCAACGGAACTAACTGTGACATCTGCCCCGGTCCAAATGAAATGGGTACTTTAAAATAACTGGAGCAAATTACGGCCAGAAGAACAACATCTAGGGTTGCCAGGCATTTGGTTTTTGACCGGAAAGCCCAGTCGAAAATGAACCGTGGTGGCTCCGGTTGGCACAGCTGACTGGGCTGTTAAAAGTCCGGTCGGCAGCACAGCGGGGGCCCAGGGCTAAGGCAGGCTCCCTCCCTGCCCTGGCTCTATGCAGCTCCTGGAAGTGGCCGCCACGTCTCTGCGGCCCCTAGGCGCAGGTTGGCTCCATGCGCTGTCCCGACCTCAAGTGCTGACTCCGCAGCTCCCATTGGTTGTGGGAGCTGTGCCTGTGGGCGTGAGGGCAGTACACGGAACCTCCCTGGCTGCCCA